TTGTTATTTTGTACTACCGATTGAACCTAGAAGATTACATATGATAAATACATGCTGACCTCTGAGTTACACCCCCAGCAAGTCCAAAATTATTTGTAATCAGCATTTTAAATATATGTTTTATCCCTGACTTTAACATTTGTTGTATTGATAAGAAACCTGATGTCCTTTTCAAATATATATATTTTTTTATTTCTTTACATTTCCTTTTTTTTCATGGCTGGGGATGGAACCCAGGGCCTTGTTCTTTCTAGTCAAGGGCTCTACCACTGGGCACCATCCCAGCCCTGATGTCCCTATTTTCTTCTCAATCCATACTCTTTCCCCAGGTGACCTCAGCCAATGTCAGCATTTATCATTTATTTCTGGTGACCATTGTTCCCAATCAGTCCTCCCTCCTGAGATACAACTTCAATCTCATATTGAGAGTCAAAATATTCTCCCTTTACCCATTCCCATGTCTATACTTTTGTTGAGTCCACAAACTTTCAACTAATACAACCTCCATGCTGTAGTTAAGTGAGATTAAGAAGATGCAAACCTAATTAGCAAAGTTTCCAAGTTGATATCCCAGGATAATGTACAGCCCTTTATGATCTGTCACTTGTCCCTTGACCTGTTACTTCTTGACCTCCTAAATAAGCTCCAGCCAAACAATCCTACATGAAATTCCAAGTACACTTTTACCTCAGTGTGTTAGTCTAGGCTGTTCCCTCTGGCTAAGTGTGCTTCCCCCAGTATTTGCATGTTCCTTTCCCTTTCTACCTTTAGGTTTTGCTCAAATGTCATCAATAAGTGATACATGGAACTATAACCACATAGAACTACAATCACTTTTTTAAGTGTTAATTTTGACTTTAGGAATAGGGTCTATTAATTACTAGAAAATTTATTGGTGTGTTAGTTCATGTTTCATTATTCTGACCTGATACAAACAACTAAAAGGAGAAAATATTTATTTTGGCTCATGATTTCAAAGGTTCAGTCCATTGTTGGACACCTCCATTGCAGTGAGCCTGTGATGAGGCAGAACATGAAGGTAGAAAGGTGTGATGAAGGAAACCTGCTTTGTACTTGGCATCCAGGAAGGAGAGGGGGAGGGGCAGCAGGGAAAGGGGCAGGGAGGAATGCAGTCCAAGTCCACACCCTCTGTGACCTACTTCTTTCAATGAGGTCCCACCTCCTAGTAATCCTTTCAGCTATCAATGGATTAATCAATCCACTGATGAGATCAGAGCCTTCATGATCCAATTATTTCCTAAAAGTCCCACCTATAAATACACGAGCTTTTTGTGGACATTCCATATCTAAACCATAACAATATGCATTCAGAATAGATGATAACTTTAGTAAGACTGATAAAAAGGACAAAATTATTTGATAATAAAAATGCAAGATCCTACTATTGTGTCCATTTATATAAATCATGTTAAGTCCATAGAAATCAGTTAAGTATGAGCAGACCAATATGTGAAAATTATTTCCTGATTGTCACTTGAATTACTTTTGCTGGGCTAGAGAGAAATTTCTAGTACTCTTTGAATGCAGCTATGATAACCCTGTCCATTTAGCAGTTATTCCATTTTACAGCTCTTATTATACCTTACGAAACAAAGGATTTAGATGCCAAAATTGAGATATTTTGTTAAATTTTCTAGGAAACCAAACATTCATAAAACTCTTGAAAATGTGATTAATAAAAGTATAATTGAATCTTGAATGAACTTATTAAATTTCTTCTTTGGAATCAGCCCTCAGATTTCAGAATCATGAAAAATTTACCCAACTTTGATCTAGCTATGAAAACAACAAATCCTTCAACTAAGAACTACTTATTCCTTTAAGATTAGAATCCAGCAAATGGCCAAACAGATGGTGGTTTAAAACAGTAAGAATCCTGGGGGGCATGTGGGAAGGATGAGGACAGTGGAGAAAGTGAAAAGACTGCAGAAAATGATTCCTTTCCCCCATTCCTTCCCTCTACCTTCTGATTTATAAAACTTGCCTATTGCCTTGCCTCAACTGGATAAACTGGGAGAAAATAGAGTTAGAATCAGAAGATACCTTAGTTTGAAACTTCCCTTGGTTTCTAACAATGTGAATTCTTATTCCTAGATTTATGTAAGTGATAATACCTTCCTTATGCAGCTGTTCTGAGGACAAAAGGAAGAATGTGAAAAAGTGTGCATAAAAGGCCATCTACATCTGAATCTCATTTCCTGTCCCTGATTTCATACATCCTAACCTCCAACATCTGATAACCATCTTACTCAAGGTGTAGGCTGAGAATAAGCAGCATCAGCAGCCCTGTGAGCTCCTTAAAAGTGCAGACTTCTGAGCCACACTCCAGATCTGCCTGGTTTAAACCCATATTCTAGCAAGAGTGCATTAACATATAAGCATCACTGTCTTATAGGAAAGGTCCCTATTATTTTCAACAACACCACTGTTTGACCACACATGAATGCTTATTTCACTTATTTGTCCATTTATAGTGATTGTATACCCTGCCATATGATGAAAGATTTTATATATATATATATATATATATATATATATATATATTTATTTATTTATTTATTTATTTATTTTTTTTTCTTTTTTTTCCCGTGAGTGTTGTATGTTCACAACATGTCCAGTCTACATCAGATGATCTGGTGTGGCCTCCAAGATGATGCACTTGTCATTGTTCAGAAACAGTGGGGCTAGTTAGGCAGAACATGCCAGGCCTTGCAGATGATTCACTGGGGAGCTTGCATTCTGTTCTTTGATCAGATGTCCCACTATTAGATCAATTGGAGGAAAAGCTGAATCCAAGAAATGGTCTTTGATAAATTCCCCTTGAGTTTAAGAGATGGATTCCGGGGAAGAAGGAAGAAGATAAGAGCATTTTCTATTTTTTTACTAGAACTATATAAAAAACAACACAATTCAATTAGCTTAAATATGCACTAAGGATTTGTCCTAAATGAACAAACATTTGGAAGAATTTGGCTCAAGCATAAGACAAGCAGCAGCCAGAACAGAAAGGTTTCTCTCCAATTATATTGTTTAAAAAAAATTTTAACTGCTTTATTGAGGAGTCTCATCTCTCTTTGAAATGCAATCATGATTTCCCCACATTACTGCTCTTAATTTGTTAAAACCCCTTTTCCAGAAGGGTATCAAGTCATTTAACACCATGTTGGCTAGATTCCATCACTGATGAAATATGTCAGTGACCAAACCTAGCTGAAATGACAAGCAGTCAAAATAGAATTATACATTGTTCTTTGGAAAAATGGGAATTATATGTTTAATCACTGTCCTTTGTTCTCAGTATACGTTTGTATTTTTATACTTTTGTATATTAAGAACTGGTTAAAGTAACACACTTCCTTAATATAGAACTTGATTTACTACAGACTATAGTCTATGCCTATAAAAATATTCTTAACTCTAGTCCCCTAATAAGGACCACATTTTATTTTTCCTCATATTTCCAGTAACTAGTATTTGGCTATAAAGTTGTTGTCAATAAATGTCCAGGTAAATTTACCTTTGAAAAGCTGAATCTTGACAGCAAATACTACTGAATTACTTAAAAAAATAATGGCAAACAAGGTAATTAATTAACTTCCTCAAATGCTTAGAGTTGATAATACTATGACAGGTGGCACCTTTTGAATACTGACAAATGTTTTTGACTTCTTTGGTCTACACTAATATAAATTTAGAAATATATATATAACTATTTGTGCTGAGGTGTTTGTTTAAATTCCCATGTTGTTAACAAAGATCTAGTCTGATATAGAAGTTATCGAAGTATCATTTTAGTCCAATACACTTTTAAATGATTACTTAGAGGAAAACGTTGATGCAATGTGATAATTATTGCAAGGTTTGCCAGTAAAACAATAACTTACAAATCAACAAAGAAAAGGTAATTTGTAATTTTATAAGGATAATCTAGACATTTAATTTTTTTTTATCTAAGGAATGATTTGAACTATTAGTAACATACAATAGAATGATGAATAATTTGAAGAAAAATTATTTAAATCTATCTACACTGCATCTAATCAACCTATATGAGGCATTATAATTAAGAAATGTCTTAGGGGGAAGAAAATAATTTTTTGTTATTAGAAAATTACTAAATTGTAAACTGCAAGTATATATGTATATGAGTATACATATATATAAGTATTCTGAGATAACAATTTGTGCTCATTTCATTGAGGACATTTAAAATACTATATTCTTATAAGGGAAAACATTTTTCTTTTCTTTTCCAGGCCCTGAATATTACTGATTAAACTTTTAAAAGCACTTCAGATCACAGTGTAGGAACCAGATTTAAGAAGGCATTACATAAACCAACTGGAGATGAAATGTGTCATGAACCTGAATACTACTCCAGATTCGTCATCAAAAACTATGATTTTACTTAACAACTAAATGCATATAAGAGGATGTCTACTCTGCAGATTTAGAGGTACTGATTCTCACTTGTCAAAGAGAACAAATCACTTTGATGGAACTATTTATAGATTCAAAATTACTCTTGTGGCCCTTGTTGTGTATGACCAATGATCTTTGTAAGTAAAGGTCAATTAAGCTGAGCTACATGAAAAGAGAGTTTTGACAGTCAATGCCTGCATGGAATGCCATTCTACCAATTTAGAACTTTTTATACATATGGGGTAAGGGAGTATGGGAGAGACTAAAATGAAAATTAGAGGGATGACTACAGAGCCCATCTGCTGGAAATTTTGGAGTAGGATAAACTAGTGCCAGCCCATATGGATCCACAGTCCAGCAACAAGACAGCACAGAACCACTGTAACTTCTAGAAACCACCATCTAGTCATGCAGCCAAGTGAGGGAAAATCAAAGAAGGAAAGGGGGAAAAGGCACAAAAGTAAAACAAAACAAAATCAAAAAGTTACAAGTTAAAGAAGTTTGCTCACTGTTGCCATGCAATAAAAAGGAAAAGACCAGAGCAAAAACTCTCTTGATTCTTTCAAACAAAACAGGCGACACTTTATTTAGATCACCAAAAATAACACTTTATAGAAATGGAACCATAACATTACACAACAAAGTATAGCTGTAAAGTCTCCAACAAGACAGGCAATGCTTTATTTAGATAACCAAAAATAATGTTTTCACATTAGATATATTTAGATAACCAAAAATAATGTTTCACAGAGAGGGAACTGTTACAAGCAAATGTATAGCTGCAAGTTTTCTTTTGCCGTCAATATCAATTCCCTCTAAAGTACTTTTGAGACTATTTTGCACTTTCTAAGTACAAACTACAATTCGTTGAACAGAGTTGCTTAGCCTCCTCTCAAGAATGAAAATAGTTTGCAAAAATATTTTGTTTAATGCTAACAAATAACTAAACAATGTGGTTCTTGCTAACAACAAACTGCAACATCTACCAAAACAACTTCGTCTATGTACGCTTTCATGAACATTTCTTTATGAACACAACTGTTCTTTTCCTGCCATCACAGATGGCCTGTGCAGCAGCAAATGTGACATCACAGCATGTTCAGGCACCTAGAAAGTAATTTATAACAACAACTCAAAGAACTACAGTATGTGGGCAACTCAAATAACAGAGCCTGCCTCTCACAGAGCCCTCCAGGGTAGGCCCAGTGTTTGTGCTCTCTGTAAAGAAAGCTGAGTACCTCATCAGTTCTTAACCTGGAACCCAGAATACAAAGCCAGACAGAGCAACTGTTCTTATAGAACCATTAAAACTTTAATAAATTGCCCTGGGGTTCTTGGTGCTGTAGTGTGCCTCACAGGCAGCAACATAAGCAGATTCTGGGAAGAAGTCATCATGGTATTCTGCTAAAAACCTGGAAAAAGGAAAAAAAATTATCTCAGTGAGCATCAGTAAACACAATATTAACTTTCGATGCACTATAATATTTCAACTTTTTTGATATTAGGAAGAAAAACTGTTACCATCTTCATTTATACATAATGATTGCTTTCATCACATTTATCTGGCTTCTATGTGATTTACTATTTTTCAGAAGCCTTTTACCATCACTGGGTGTAAAAGTACCTAAATTAAAATCTAAACTCCACTAGGTGGCAGTCTGACTATACAAACACTTTATGAAGCCTCGAAGAATATTTTCCTATTTTTCAAACTATAAAAAAAGAACAAATTATGAACTCAATGTCACTTAAGAAATTCACATTGTGTATATGAATGAAGTTATTTGAAAACTGATCTGAATAACTAATTTTGTATTTTGTGTCCTAAGTTGCCACGCCAAAAGGTGTCACAGTTCCAACTGCAATATCAAAACCCATAAAAGACTGACCTAAAACTATCTGAAGATGGATGTTAAAATGTGGCCAGTCATTCAAGAATCTTTGACATATAGATAATATGTTGACTCAAACTTCAACTGATTTTCCATAAAGGGTTAAAGTACTCTTAAGTATGCAAAATACTCACTAGTAAGCTCCTACATGTTTAAATCTCTAAAAATATGCAACACCTTTTTTTAGTAAAAACTGAGTCAAAATTCATTTGACAGCCAGGTCTTTTTTCTTCTATGACTGCACACTTTTTTGCAGTCATTACTGAGTCCACTGATTTTAACTGATATCTTCAGACACATTTTTAAAACCTTCATCTATATTTATTTGTAAATCCTCCTAAGTTATTTTCTAAACTCCTACCTTTATTTATTATTTATTTATTTATTTATTTTTGGTACTGGGGATTGAGCCCAGGGGCGATTAACCACATCCCCAGCTCTTTTATTATTTATTATGAGACAGTGTCTCACTAATTTGCTTAGGGCCTAAGTTGCTGCGGCTGGCCTCAAACTTGTAATCCTCCTGCCTCAGGCTTCCAAACTACTGGGATTATAGGCATGTACCACTGTGCCCAGGTAAAGTCCTACGTTTTATTTTGTATGGTGAATACTTCAAACTAGAAGGCTTCCATACAATAAGCTGCAGCAGTCTCTTCATATTTTCTTGGCATTTGATTTCAGTGTTTTATGTCACATAGATTTATGGATTTGTTTGAGGGGGATGTTGGGAGGGAAGAAGGTATTTTTGAAACTTCTTTCCAATAAAATGTTTTAAAGTCAATTCCTCTCAGGATACTTTATTCCTAATTCCTAAAGGTAAGTATCTTTTTAAACCATGAGACTGATTTCTGTAGGTGGGGCACTCTTTACTCTGGCAAATCCTAAATTAGTGTGGGTCCTGCCTAGAAGGAAGTATCCTTAAAGAGAAGAAAGAAATAAAGTCAGGTAGCAAGGTTGAGCAAGGTGAGACAGGGTGAAGGCTAGTCCCAAAGACCAAGGTAAGGACATCTGAATGGGAGAGGGGGACAATGAAGCTGGGTCACAGTCTGGGGGATGAAGATAGGAGGCAGATCCTCAGGTCAAACAGTCCTATTAGATAAGAAAATGATGGAATTCAGGAATACTGGCACAGACTAGGGATTATTTATCTTAACTTTAAATTAAATGCCAAAATCAAACCCATAGATGCTAATATAACAAAGAAAAGTCCTGAATAAAAAATGTCAATTATCGTCAATCTCAATCACTTCTATTTTACAAATTTATTTTCTATTTACAAGTTTGTCCAACTGTATTCTTCTGGTAACAGAAAAATACTTTACCTCTGTAAAATGAGTACTCTTGACTCTGAAACTGGAGAAATTAGGGGGAAAATAAAACAAATACCAAAAACACTTGTGTATTACCATTTTGGTTAGAACCCACATCACTTAAGTAACACTGCTACTATTTAAACCATCACACTGCTGCCTTCCACAAGTGCTGAAGAGAAGCTTAGATAAGTCCCATATACAGCAGTAGAGGTAAGTTCTGAGAGAGTAATAAAAATACCTCAGAAAGAGATCAAAGTGCTTCAGTAAAGCCTTCAGATTCTTCTCAGAAAAGGACATCTTTCCAAGGATTTCTGGAAGTTTTACTGCATTAAAAAAAGGGCCAAACATTTACAATTAGAAGAATCTATAAATGTGTAGGAAACACTCAGGGGTCATCTGGATCTCTCTTTTTCCTTTTAGGAAATGAAATTAACATCTACATTATCAAACAAAAGCTCTTATTGAACAAAGTTAGAACAGTGGTACCAATATAAAAGTACAACTTTTGTGAAATTTAAACTTTATTTAATACTTTTCCTTTGAAGCGGTCACCTTTAGATGATTTTTTAGAACCCCAAATGGAAAGTAAGTATCCACATTAGTCAGATATTTGCAGCCCAAACCACAAAATGACATGAATTAGTAAGTGTTAAAAACAAAGCTAAATGAAAAATGGAATAAGAGAGCAGAAACCAGGATCTTACCAAATAATCGCAACAAATGTTGTGCCCCATAAATATAAGAGGGTGGTGGAGGCTGGTCACCTGGCGGGTAATTGTCAGGCACAAGCTTCCAGGAGAGGACCTGGAAAAAGCATGAGTTGAAGGCTTTCACTATTCCTCATGGAGACACTTCTAATCACATATATCTTATGATGGTTAATTGTATATAGAAGGAAAAATACAACTACATCAAAACAAACAGAGCTTTACAAAAATAAACAAAATTGCAGGATATAATGACTTAAATTTAAAGAAACATTCTTAATTCTCAATAGTTAATACTAACTTTAACTGTTTTGGTCACTTGGTTCTTTTTTCCTTTATTGGAAATCTTACAATGTTAAAGAATGAAGCATTTAAAAACAAACTAAAAACATGTGTTGAGCAATATTTCCACTGTTTAAAAATTCCTTAATTTCTTGCAGTTGAGTTCACTATGGAATCTAATTTGAATCTCCAAACCCCTTGAATCAACCAGAAATAGGCTTCCAACCTGGTAAATGGTTTCCTTGCCTTTACTGTGAATTTCAGAACTTAACGGCTTTTGTTAAAGTAAGAGGTGTATTTCAAAACACTCTGATGAATTTCCCCGGAAATACATCAGCAAACCAGACATCCTGAGCCTATTCTACTGAGTTACCACTTTGGCTTTTGCAACATGTAAACTTTGGAGAAAAGTGAGCGATAAGACATTAGGATAAGGAATCTAGTTAAAATACCATGATGGAGGCACTTAAGGAGGTGGGAATTCACTAAGGTCTCTTTAGTTCATTTACCAGAAATCATCCTTCTTTTCTATGGCCTGCAGCTGTACCTGTGACCACTAGATGGCAGAATTGCACAGCTGACCACAGTGGGAATGATGGTCCTTGTCTAAATATTAGATGCCCTTTAAAAGAAATGCTGTTTTCCTTTAAATAATAAAACCTGCAGTGCCTCCTTGTCTGAAAAAAAAAAATGTGTTGGAGAATGCTTATAATAGTAATTCATTAATCTATCCTCAACAATTACCATAACATAAATAAGGGTACATCAGGGTGGGCCAACTATAGCCCATGTTAAATCTAGTCCAAGGCTTATGTACAAAAAAAAAAAAAAAAAAATCAAATGTATACTTCCAGCATCTATGAATGAATGAATTTGGGGGACACAAGCCACACTCATTTATTTATTTATCATCTCTTGCTTTCACACTGTAACAGCAGAGTTCATAGTGTCAAAGAAGAACATACTGTTCTCAACCCTGAAAATATTTACAGTCTAACTCTTTACAGAGGTAGTTTACTGGCCCCAGTTTCCAGCATCAGATGCACTTTGACTACTAAAGCCATGTTCCTCTGAGCAAACCTATCTACCCCAAAGAAATAAGGAAATCCCAACCTAAGGGAGAGTCAAGGGATATCCCAAGAACTAAGACTTCTTCTGAACCCTTGAAATGCTTACTAGCTACATCTCCTAAGTGACACTAAAAAAAGGTTTCAAAAAGAAAATTTTTCATATATCAAATGATATGTGGTAGCAAGGGCTGTTTTCAGGAATTTAAGGTAATAGGTTCAATTATCTGTCACAATGTTGGCATACGACATGCTTTCAAATGGATGAATATTAGTATTACTGTTAATAATGTAGGAAATTCAGATGTCTAAAGTAGGGGTCAGCAAATGACAATGTGCTGCTTACATCTGGCCAAACATTCTGCCAGCTTCTATACTGCCCATAAGCTAAAAATGGACTCCATATTTTTAAATGATTGAAAAGATACAAAAAGACAATACTTTGCAGCATATGAAAATCATATGCTATTCCATTTTCAGTGTTCATAAATAAAGTTTTACTGGAACACAGAGCACCCATTCTATTTACATGTTGCCTGTGGCTATATTTGGACCTGGCTAGTTTTAACAGACACCATGTGGTCCACAAAGCCTAAAAGATTTACTTTCTGGCCCGTACCACAAAAAGTATGCTGATGCCTATTCTACAGAATGAAAATATTAGTGTTTCAATAATTGTACTTATCTAAGATAAAAGATGATATCTTTTAGGGTTGGAATCCTAACAATATTCTCTATTTTGAAACCAAAAGCACACTGTTAAGAATAATTCTGCAAACACTTTTGTTAATATTTACAGTAATAGCAGCAAAATGCTTCAGGACCCTAGGATTCAAACAACCACAAATGGTGAAAGAATCACTGGAGATAAACATCAAATACTAAGTCTTTACCTCATTTATCTCATTAGTTCTTCTCCCCTCAAAGCCAGCAAACACAGCACTCCCTTCCTTACTAGGAGTTAGAGGAATGGGGGAAGATGATCTGCTATGAACTGGTGTCTCTTCAAAAGAAAAAGACATTTGCTTATAAGTTACACAGGAATTGAATTAAACAATATCATTAAGACTTATAAACAGCAGAACAAAAATCTAGTCAGTTCTCTAGAACAATAAGGCTTTTCTCTTGTAAAAGATAGCAGTAGAAAATTATTTGGTTAAAAAAAAGAATAAAGTAATAATACATGCTAGAGTGTGGAAAAATCTTGAAAACATGCTAAGAGAAAGGAACCCATCACAAAGGGCCACATATCATATGATTCCATGTCCATGAAAGTTACAGGACAAGCAAATCCATAGAGAGAAAGTAGACTAGGGTTGAAAGGAGCTTGCAAAAGGAGGAAATGGGGAGTGAATGCTAATGGGTACAGGGTTTCTTCTGAGGGTGCTAAAAATGTTTCGGATTCAGATGGGTGCACAACTCTATGAAACTAAAAACCACTGAACTGTACACTTCAAATGGGTGAATTGTGGGGCATACAGGGTTTATCTCCATAAACTTGTTAAAAAATATGGTATCACTGAGCCATTTACTTTATTTTTTTATTTTTTTTAAATTTTTATTGTTGGTTGTTCAAAACATTACATAGTTCTTGATATATCATATTTCACACTTTGATTCAAGTGGGTTATGAACTCCCATTTTTACCCCGTATACAGATTGCAGAATCACATCAGTTACACATCCACTGATTTACATATTGCCATACTAGTGACTGTTGTGTTCTGCCGCCTTTCCTATCCTCTACTATCCCCCCTCCCCTCCCCTCCCCTCTTCTCTCTCTGCCCCCTCTACTGTCATTCATTTCTCCCCCTTGTATTATTTTTCCCTTTCCCCTCACTTCCTCTTCTTTGTACTTTTGTATAACCCTGAGGGTCTCCTTCCATTTCCATGCAATTTCCCTTCTCTCTCCCTTTCCCTCCCACCTCTCATCCCTATTTAATGGTAATCTTCTTCTCATGCTCTTCGTCCCTACTCTGTTCTTAGTTACTCTCCTTATATCAAAGAAGACATTTGGCATTTGTTTTTTAGGGATTGGCTAGCTTCACTTAGCATAATCTGCTCTAATGCCATCCATTTCCCTGCAAATTCTATGATTTTGTCATTTTTTAATGCAGAGTAATACTCCATTGTGTATAAATGCCACATTTTTTTTATCCATTCGTCTATTGAAGGGCATCTAGGTTGGTTCCACAGTCTTGCTATTGTGAATTGTGCTGCTATGAATATCGATGTAGCAGTGTCCCTGTAGTATGCTCTTCTTAGGTCTTTAGGGAATAGACCGAGAAGGGGAATAGCTGGGTCAAATGGTGGTTCCATTCCCAGCTTTCCAAGAAATCTCCATACTGCTTTCGAAATTGGCCGCACCAATTTGCATTCCCACCAGCAATGTACAAGTGTACCCTTTTCCCCACATCCTCGCCAGCACTTGTTGTTGTTTGACTTCCTAATGGCTTCCCATCTTACTGGAGTGAGATTGTATCTTAGGGTGGTTTTGATTTGCATTTCTCTGACTGCTAGAGATGGTGAGCATTTTTTCATGTACTTGTTGATTGATTGCATGTCCTCCTCTGAGAAGTGTCTGTTCAGGACCTTGGCCCATTTGTTGATTGGGTTATTTGTTTTCTTATTGTTTAATTTTTTGAGTTCTTTGTATACTCTGGATATTAGGGCTCTATCTGAAGTGTGAGGAGTAAAGATTTGTTCCCAGGATGTAGGCTCCCTATTTACCTCTCTTATTGTTTCTTTTGCTGAGAAAAAACTTTTTAGTTTGAGTAAATCCCATTTGTTGATTCTAGTTATTAACTCTTGTGCTATGGGTGTCCTATTGAGGAATTTGGAGCCCGACCCCACCGAATGTAGATCGTAGCCAACTTTTTCTTCTATCAGACGCCGTGTCTCTGATTTGATATCAAGCTCCTTGATCCATTTTGAATTCACTTTTGTGCATGGCGAGAGAAAGGGATTCAGTTTCATTTTGTTGCATATGGATTTCCAGTTTTCCCAGCACCATTTGTTGAAGATGCTATCCTTCCTCCATTGCATGCTTTTAGCCCCTTTATCAAATATAAGGTAGTTGTAGTTTTGAGGATTGGTTTCTGTGTCCTCTATTCTGTACCATTGGTCCACCCGCCTGTTTTGGTACCAGTACCATGCTGTTTTTGTTACTATTGCTCTGTAGTATAGTTTGAAGTCTGGTATCGCTATACCGCCTGATTCACACTTCCTGCTTAGCATTGTTTTTGCTATTCTGGGTCTTTTATTTTTCCATATGAATTTCATGATTGCTTTCTCTATTTCTACAAGAAATGCCGTTGGGCTTTTGATTGGCATTGCATTAAACCTATAGAGAACTTTTGGTAATATCGCCATTTTCATGATGTTAGTTCTGCCTATCCATGAACAGGGTATATTTTTCCATCTTCTAAGATCTTCTTCTATTTCTCTCTTTAGGGTTCTGTAGTTTTCATTGTATAAGTCTTTTACCTCTTTTGTTAGGTTGATTCCCAAGTATTTTATTTTTTTTGAAGATATTGTGAATGGAGTGGTTGTCCTCATTTCCATTTCAGAGGATTTGTCGCTGATATACAGGAATGCCTTTGATTTATGCGTGTTGATTTTATATCCTGCCACTTTGCTGAATTCATTTATTAGCTCTAATAGTTTCTTTGTAGAGCCTTTTGGGTCTGCTAGGTATAGAATCATATCATCTGCAAATAGTAATTTAAGTTCTTCTTTTCCTATTTTTATGCCTTTAATTTCTTTCGTCTAATTGCTCTGGCCAGTGTTTCGAGAACTATGTTGAACAGAAGTGGTGAGAGAGGGCATCCCTGTCTTGTTCCAGATTTTAGAGGGAATGCCTTCAGTTTTTCTCCATTCAGAATGATGCTATCCTGAGGCTTAGCATAGATTGCTTTTACAATATTGAGGTATGTTCCTGTTATCCCTAGTTTTTCTAGAGTTTTGAACATAAAGGGATGCTGTACTTTGTCGAATTCTTTTTCCGCATCTATCGAGATGATCATATGGTTCTTATTTTTAAGTCTATTGATGTGGTGAATAACATTTATTGATTTCCGTATACTGAACCAGCCTTGCATCCCTGGGATGAATCCTACTTGATCACGGTGCACAATTTTTTTGATATGTTTTTGTATCCGATTTGCCAGAATTTTATTGAGGATTTTTGCATCTAGGTTCATTAGAGATATTGGTCTGTAGTTTTCTTTCTTTGAAGTGTCTTTGTCTGGTTTAGGAATCAGGGTGATGTTGGCCTCGTAGAATGAATTTGGAAGTTCTCCCTCTTTTTCTATTTCCTGAAATAGCTTGAAAAGTATTGGTATTAGTTCCTCTTTAAAGGTTTTGTAAAACTCTGCTGTATACCCATCCGGTCCTGGGCTTTTCTTAGTTGGTAGTCTTTTGATGGTTTCTTCTATTTCCTCAATTGATATTGGTCTGTTTAGGTTGTCTATATCCTCCTGACTCAATCTGGGCAGATCATATGACTTAAGAAATTTATCGATGCCTTCACTATCTTTTATTCTATTGGAGTATAAGGATTCAAAATAATTTCTGATTATCTTCTGTATTTCTGAAGTGTCTGTTGTGATATTGCCTTTTTCATCCCGTATGCTAGTAATTTGAGTTCTCTCTTTTCTTCTCTTCGCTAGCATCGCTAAGGGTCTGTCGATTTTATTTATTTTTTCAAAGAACCAACTTTTAGTTTTGTCAATTTTTTAATTGTTTCTTTTGTTTCGATTTCATTAATTTCAGCTCTGATTTTAATTATTTCTTGCCTTCTACTTCTTTTGCTGTTGTTTTGCTCTTCTTTTTCAAGGATTTTGAGATGAAGTATGAGATCATTTATTTGTTGTTTTTTTCTTTTTTTAAGGAATGAACTCCAGGCAATGAATTTTCCTCTTAGAACTGCTTTCAATGTGTCCCATAGATTCCGATATGTTGTGTCTGTTTTCATTTATCTCTAAGAATTTTTTAATTTCCTCCTTGATGTCTTCTATAACCCATTGATCATTCAGTAACCTATTGTTCATTCTCCAAGTGATGCATGATTTTTCCTTCCTTCTTTTATTGTTGATTTTCAGTTTCATTCCATTATGATCTGATAAGTTGCATGGTATTATCTCAACTCCTTTATATTGTGTAAGAGTTGCCCTGTGACATAATATATGATCTATTTTTGAGAAGGATCCATGTGCTGCTGAGAAAAAAGTGTAACTGCTTGATGTTGGGTGGTATATTCTATATATGTCAATTAAGTCTAGGTTATTAATTGTGTTATTGAGTTCTATAGTTTCCTTATTCAACTTTTGTTTGGAAGATCTGTCCAGTGGCGAGAGAGGTGTGTTGAAGTCTCCCATGATTATGGTGTGGTGGTCTATTAGACTCTTGAACTTGAGAAGAGTTTGTTTGATGAACATAGCTGCACCATTGTTTGGGGCATATATATTTATGATTGTTATGTCTTGTTGGTGTATGGTTCCCTTGAGCAGTATGTAGTATCCCTCTTTATCCCTTTTGATTAACTTTGGCTTGAAATCTATTTTATTTGATATGAGTATGGACACTCCTGCTTGTTTCCGAAGATCATATGAGTGATATGATTTTTCCCAACCTTTCACCTTCAGTCTATGTATGTCTTTTCCTATCAAATGCGTCTCCTGTAGGCAGCATATTGTTGGGTCTTGTTTTGTGATCCATTCTACTAGCCTGTGTCTCTTAATTGGTGAGTTTAAGCCATTAACATTTAGGGTTGTTATTGAGATATGGGTTGTTCTTCCAGCCATATTTGTTTATTTCTGTTACTAAATATGGTTTGTTTTCCTCTTTGATTATTTTTCCCCCCTTTACTGTACTACCTCCCACTGTTGGTTTTCATTGTTATTTTCCATTTCCTCTTCCTGTAATGTTTTGCCGAGGATGTTTTGAAGAGATGGTTTTCTAGCTCCAAATTCTTTTAACTTTTGTTTATCGTGGAAGGTTTTAATTTCATCTTCCATCCTGAAGCTTAATTTCGCTGGATACACAATTCTTGGTTGGAACCCATTTTCTTTTAGTGTTTGAAATATGTTATTCCAGGATCTTCTAGCTTTCAGAGTCTGTGTTGAAAGATCAGCTGTTATCCTGATTGGTTTATCCCTAAATGTAATCTGCTTCCTTTCTCTTGTAGCTTTTAAAAATTCTCTCCTTATTCTGTATGTTGGGCATCTTCATTATAATGTGTCCATGTGTGGATCTCTTATGATTTTGCACATTCAGCGTCCTGTAGGCTTCTAGGATTTGGGATTCTGTCTCATTCTTCAAGTCTGGGAAGTTTTCTCGTATTATTTCATTGAATAGCTTGCTCATTCCTTTGGTTTAGACCTCTATACCTTCCTGTATCCCAATGACTCTTAAGTTTGGTCTCTTTATATTATCCCATATTTCTTGGATGTTCTGCTCATGGTTTCTTAACAGTCTTGCTGAGCTGTCTATGTTCTTTTCCAGTTGAAATACTTTGTCTTCATTGTCTGATGTTCTATCTTCTAAGTGTTCTACTCTGCTGGTAGTATTCTCCATTGAGTTTTTAAGTTGGTTTATTGCTTCCTGCATTTCTAGGATTTCTGTTTGTTTGTTTTTTATAACCTCTATCTCCCTGTATAGTTGATCTTTTGCTTTCTGGATTTGTTTATGTAACTCATTGTCGAAGTGATCTTTCATTGTCTGATTTTGCTGTCTAATGTCTTCCTTGAGATTCCAGATCATCTGAAGCATGTATATCCTGAATTCTTTATCTGACATTCCATCTGCTGCAGATATTACCTCTTCTAAAGTTGAGTTGACCTGCATTGCTTGTGGTCCTTTCTTTCCTTGTCTTTTCATACTGCTCGCATTTCTTTCTGCTTGGTGAAACTGTTGTGTTGTTGAATTTTCCCTCTATATATTTATATTGCTCTTGTATAGTTGAAAAGTCTCCCTTGCAGGGGCGGGTGGCGGCTGTGCTCCTCCTCCAATTGGGGTGATCTTTCTACCACGATGGCGGGCCTCTGGGCCTGTTCTGCCGGTAGGTCGTAGGTCTGCCTACCTTGCAGGCGCGGGCGGCGGCTCTGCTCTGCCCTTCCTCCAATTGGGGTGACGTGTCTACCACGCTGGTGGGTTGCTGGGCCTGTTCCGGGTGCGGGCGGTGGCTGTGCTATGCCCCTACTCCAATTGGGGTGATGTGACCACCACGCCGGCGGGTCGCTGGGCCTGTTCCGGGTGCGGGCGGCGGCTCTGCTCTGCCCCTACTCCAATTGGGGTGACGTGACTACAATGCCGGCGGGCCACTGGGCCTGTCCCGCCGGCTGGTCGCAGGTCTGCCTACCTTGCGGGCGCGGGCGGCGGCTCTGCTCTACCCCTACTCCAATTGGGGTGATGTGTCTACCCCGCCGGCAGGCCACTGGGCCTGATCTGCCAGTCAGTCGCAGGTCTGCCTACCTTGTGGGCACGGGCAGCGGCTCTGCTCTGCCCCTACTCCAATTGGGGTGACATGTCTACCACGCCGGTGGGCCGCTGGGCCTATTCCGGGTGCGGGCAGAGGCTCTGCTCTGCCCTTTTACAATTGGGGTGACGTGTCTACCATGCCGGCGGGCCGCTGGGCCTGTTCCAGGTCCCATTTACTTTAAAATGGTTAATCTTACATGTGAATTTTGCCTCAATAAATAAATAATGCCCCCAGTGGCTCGGGAGGCTGAGGCAGGAGGATTGCAAGTTCAAAGCCAGTCTCAGCAATCAGCGAGGCACTAAGAACTCAGTGAGATCCTGTCTCTAAATAAAATACAAAAATAGGGCTGGGAATGTGGCTCAGTGGTTGAGTGTCCCTGAGTTCAATCCCCAGTACCCACCCCAAATAAATAAATAAATAATGCCAAGAAAAAGAAAAAGCTAGCCCTTCATGTTTTAGTATTTTTTTAAACGGGTTTGTCTTTTACTTTTCCCAGATAAACTTCCCCAATCTCCAATCAATACTTAATAATCACCTACATACATAGTATATGATTCTATTTATATAAAATGAAGTCATTTTCTATAGGAAAATCTATACAGATAGATTAATGGTTGCCAAGGATATGGGGAGGGCCACATGAGAAGTGACTGCTAATGCATATGGGATATCTTTTATGTGGTAGTAAAAATGTTTGGAACTGATTTTGATGATGATTTAATAATTCTGAATATACTAAAAACCACTTAAAATGGGTAAATTGTATGGTATGTGGATTATAATCTCAATAAACCTGACAAAGCATAGCATCTGATTTTTCTTAACATTCAAAAGGATTTTTTTTAAACATTTTTCTTTTAGTTGTGAGTGGACACAATACCTTTGTTTTATTTTTACGTGGTGCTGAGGATGGAACCCAGTACCTCACGCATACTAGGCAAACACTCTAGCTCTGAGCCACAACCCCAGCCCTCAAAAAGATTTTTTAAATATCTTTTTAGTTGTCAATGGACCTCTATTTTATTTATTTACATGTGGTGCTGAGAATTGAACCCAGTGCCCCACACATGCTAGGCAAGTGCTCTATCAGTGAGCCACAACTCTAGCTCTCAACAGGATTTTTTTAAAGGTAGGTTTTTAAGATAAGAAAAAAATCAAAACAATCCACTAGAACTGCTCATTTTGAATATATCATTAGGATTATACAAAACATAGAATTCCAACAATGCAATTTGTTCCCAAGAAGTGGTAGAGAGTGACAGTGAAAAAGGAAAGCTTAGGACACAAAGTTGCACTATGCCACCTATGCCACATGTACTTTGTCTTTTTATGGCTTGGTTTACCCTTCTGGAAAGTAGGTGGCCTAATAGAATTCAGACCATAGTCTGGGAAACACATAAACTGTCCATACACACTTAAGTGTGTGGCCTGGCCCAGACTGAGCACAAAGGAAGTGACAGCTCTCCCCAGCCTGGAGCTCCCAGGATGGAACTTACTCTTTTCCAGGTGCAGGAATAATTTGGGCATGCTGGAGGATGTGTCCTGCTGCCTTCGCTTGGGCTGAGGTGAAGCGCTACTCTCAGATAGCCTGTCACAGTTGGTGCTATGGCGTGTGGACCGCCTCAGAGACTGCAGTGCTTCTGGCTCAGCTTTGCGCCTCTTGGGGGTGGCTGGTTCACCAGTGGTAGGCTGACTCTCTGTGGACTGTGGTGTAGATGGATTCAACAAAGGTGGGCTTGGAGAGAGCTCTTCCTGGCTCCTAGGCAATAAAGAGAGAATGTCACACACAGCTACCATGTCACATGCCGTCACCATGCAGAACCCCACAGCTTCTTAAAGGACCTCCTAAAGCCAGAACAGGAAGCCCACTCCCCAAACCAGTAGGGCTCTATATCTATGCCTCCAAGTATGACAAAATACACACTTTCTCAAAGAGTTATTCAACAGATGAAGTCATTTGAATCCTCTCCATAACTTTTCAAGGCATGCTGATATTATAAAGATTGTGATGCTCCTTTTATATTTTCTGAGACTGGTGGCTCTATTATGGGAACAATTTTGCCCTAATAAGGGACAGCTGGCAATATATGGAGACAGTTTTGGTTAACACAACTGAGAGAAGGTGAGCTACTGCTGTCTAGTGAGGGGAGACCAGGGATGCTCCTAAAGATTGTACACTGCACAGGACAGTCCCCACCTCAAAGATCCTGTTCAAAACATCAGTGGGGCTGAGACTGAGAAACCCTAGTCTAGGCAAGAATAATATGGTATCACCTCATCAAAATGTAACTAACAGCAGGATTTGAAAAAGTTACAAGCATCAGAGAGAGTACACCCTGGACACTAGAAATCTCCAGGTGTGGGAACATCAATACAGGTGCCCAGTGAGTCTCAAAGACCTCTCAGCTAGGGTGAAACTGACATGGGGGGAAAGGAGAAAAGAGAAAAGCCACCAAAAGGCATGGTAGAGAGGCAGAGAGAATTGGGAAAGGCAGGAGCCATGGAGACCAAGGGACAAAGGAAGGGTGGGAAAAAGTGGTTGATGCAAAATCCAACCTGTGGCAAGTGGGAAATTATTAATGCCCTTGTAGGAAGTTATTAGTTGGGTACTAATAGATTAAAGCAGGTGGTAAGGGGTTAAGAGAGATGGATAAATGAAAGTCTTGAGAGCAGGTCACCCTCTCAAAAAGGAAGGAGTGAGAGAGAGTAGCCTAGCATTACACAGATTAAGAGAAGACTTTAAGCTAGGGAGTCCCCCCTCCAAATAACAGAGAATGAAGCATGCTTGTTTATTGAGGGAAGAAAAATGGTTACATAGCAGACCACTAAGGAAACTAACTTTTACTAAGGGCTGAAATTTGCTTATTTAATACTACCAGAGAGACAGATGTCCATTCCATTTACAGAGACAAACACGACAGGCTCAGAAGGAATAGTCCCAAGTGACATACAGCAAGTGAGGGAGCTCAGATCAAGCCTACCCTTTCCACCCTTCTTGGCCTGTGCTCTCTTCACTCTAGCCCCCACCGTCTTCTGAAAGATGGGCCAGCTGCTCATAATCCCACCTAAATTCTCTACACTGGAATCTTCACTTGGGGAAAAATCTTCTGGAGCCATGAGAAAGTAAAGAACAACTTTAGCTTACCTAGGAAAAAAGAAATTACCAGTATGGGAACTTTTCAATTGTTCCCTTCCTCCAAACACACTGGCCCCCACAGCATCAGACTAGACTCTTCCAAGAAGGATTTTAATATGTTAATGCTGACATCTGAGGGTGAAAGTGCAAGTTATCTAACTTACCTATTAGTGTTTGTGGCACTTTCCTTAATTGGAAGAAAAAATTTAGACGAAGTCACCTTTTTATACTGAGCTTGTTCATATGGGTAGAGCAAAACCAGTGGGAGAGTATAATCAAAGGTTATTCTTAATCCATCCACCATCTCCTTACAAAGGTCCACACTGGGAGGAGAAAAAGAAAAGATAAGAGATGCGATAATGAAACAGATACTCTCTAAATTTTCACAACAAAGTTGTACATTCTTAATATAGAAGAGGTTTAAACTTAAACATTATATATTACACCTACACCTATAAAGAAGGAAATGAATCTATGGATGTTAATAATTAATGTTAAAATAGGGACATAGATTCATACTATAAAGTGCAGAAAGTACGTCAGCAACTACAACATACCTATTTAACACAAATAAGTCCAATGTTACTTGTGGAGATCCAGAATCCTGTGCTACTAAGAGTTGTCAACTGGACAGAACCCACCAGACTCCCAACCCCTGCTTCAACTCTGACACTCTACCTCTCCGACTCTGCTCCAGTCATGTTGGGTAGGCAGGGTGGGATATGAGGATGACTACTTTGACTAGAATAAAGACCTGTTTAGAAACAAGCTTTGTTCAAACTCACATTGCCCATTCTGGTGTTTCTCAAGGAAAAAAAGGTAAGTTATTGCCTGCATGATACCACTTAAAATACCAGTCTTAGTGACAAGGTGGTGCACTCTCAATACATCTAGGCCAGATGTGCAAAGACAGTTCTCAAAGAATTCACAAACGTAACAATATTTGGCTATGGTTATTCAAAGAGTTAGTAATAAATCATTAAATTATATATTAAATAAATTCAAAATTACTGAACAGAGAAAGGAATTCCCTGGTCTAAATGGGAACAGCTTTTCTAACACACAATGAGAATCATGAGATGCCAAACATGCCAGTACTCACTTTTTTTCTGCTGGGACATAATGCACATTCATATTGGCGTGTACCATAGCATGATGGTGACGAGGCCTCTCATTGGCAGAAAAGGCTGCATTAATAGCAAAATGCTTCACATAGGATTCCAAAATAGTTATGATGTTGGTCTGGCATGGAAGTTTCACTAACTGTTAACAAAATTAAAAACATCTGATGTATGTATACGATAATAATAAACAATATATTCCAAGAAAGGGTGGTTGTACCTCTTTCACTTTTTAACTCAAAAATAAAGGAAAGTTGGGCTGGAGCTATAGCTTGGCTGGTAGAGTGCTTCCCTCACATGCAGAAGGCTATGGGTTCAATCCCCAGCACCACAATCAATCAATCAATCAATCAAGTGAAGTCAATTCTGCTTAGATAAAACTTTTAAAATAAATATGTACTGAAGTTCTGTGATCTTTTTTTTATCATGTCCTCATGTTGATTACACTCTTGCTTTTTGGAGTAGATGTAAGCAGTGATTCTCAATCTTAGTGTCAAATTAGAACAATTCTGGGAGCCTCTAAGAGTACATAACCTTTAAAACCTAACTCAGTATAAAACCAAAAATGTAAAAGTTCATTCCTCCAAGCTTCTCAATTGTTGGATACTGTGATTGCAAAATACAGTTAAATGAAAGCACACTAATAACTCTGTGTTTCACATATTCTCCCCACTTACCCGTTTCCTCCTGTTAATATAGTAACAATCATCTTCAAGCTGCTTCTTCAGAACTTCGGGGATGTCTATAGTTATTGTCCTTTCTTCCATTTCTTTTTTTGTTTGCAGCTCTAGTTCTTCTTTCTGAAATATCACAATTCCATTTTTAATTAATTAAAATAGGAGCAGAGTCTGTACCAAAAATAGGATAGTAGATGAGAGACCGCTATAAAAAAGTACCAGTGTATCCTCAACATTCACATTTTGTCCCAGTTCTAAGTATGCTAAAGGCCACAAGTTAACTTGTTCTAGGATGTTAACTATGTTGCAAATGCTTATTTTGTTTCTTCTTCCTTTAAGTTTACCACTGGGGTTATGGTAACTTTGCAAGCAGGCAGAAGAGCCCAAACTCTGTTGTGCTCCATTAAAAAATTCATCATTACAAAATGCAGCTCACAATTTTATTGGGGAAAAAGAGATAATTTATAGAAACACTCCATAGGTATAAAGAGTCACTGAGAGGCTCACATAGTGACTGTAAATAAGGATCACTTTTCTTAAAATGTCAAGCAAATTTTATTATTTTGGTTTAAAATATATCTTTATAAAATCATTCATAAGTACAGAATTTTACTATGAAATTTTACCACTAAAATATATACTAAAGCCAAAGTTTTTATGACAAGAACTTTTTTACCACTTCAGTCTTTTCTTCACTATCACTTCCTTCACTTATTTCTTCATCCTTTTCTTCACCACTGTCATCAGAGGAACTGCTTATGGCTAAGTGAAAAAAAAATCAGACAAACTTTTATTATATATTTTTCCTATTGTTATGCTTACAAATCTATAGGTATAGTGTGCATCCTACCAAGAATGATGATTTGCAGTCCTGCATATATTTTAAATGCTGAACACAAATACTGTGCCTTTCTGAAATTTATTTTGATAAATATAACATCATCTTCAACAGATGCAAAAATCACACAAGCTAATGACCTGAAAGTGCTTTGTCAGCTAGGATTCAATAGTTCTTTGTTGGATTCATAAATGCTGGAGGTACTGAGAAGAGAATGAACCATGGGAAAGGAGCTGTGTGGGGTTCACTGGCCAAAAAGGCAGTGGTCAAGAGTATGACTCTGATAAGTCTCAGTGATTTGCTGACTTATCATGTTGATGCCACTTTCATTGTCAACAAAAAAAGAGGTACATATCATAGAGACGCTCCTCAACTTATGATGGGGTTATGTCCATCAAAAGTTGAAAACGTCCTAAATTACAAATGCATTGAATACACCAAAACTACCAAATATCACAGCAGACTACTTTAAATGCGCTCTGAATAGTTACCTTAGCATAAATTGGGCAAACTCATTTAACACAAAGCTTATTTTAATAAATGCGTTAAGTATATCATGTAATTTTTAAGACATGGTTCTGAAATTGAAAAGCAGAATGTTTACATGGGTGTGCTTTCATACCAGCATAAAATCAAAAAATTCTAAGTTGGAGACCACCTAAAAATAATGAGTTTCCAAAATTTTCCTGTCTATAATTTCAGTGAATATTCCCCTCAGTTAGTCCTGAAGTATAAAAAAGACTAGGTAAAAGTTCTTTTTGCCAAAAAAAAAAAAAAAGGAGTCCAGTCACTCACAATTTTCACCATTTTCATCTTTTTCTTCAACAGGGAGACTTTTTAAGACAGAGTCAACACCGGGCAACCTACAGCGCTTCTTCTTTCTTCCTGTGCTTCTCCTGAAAAAAAAAAAAAAAGTGAACATAATTGAAATAAATTTTAACATTGATTATTCTTAAATATCTCAAAAACTGAACTTTAGAATATAAATGGTGATCACTTCAGAAACACTTATAATTAAAATATGTAAAATTACTTAATAAACATTTTTATTACTTTTAAACCATAAAATTCAAAACTTAAGGAAATATGCATTGAAAAACATTTATGTCACGATTTGTGTATTCTTACAGGCGAGCTACAGCTTTTCTTGCCAATTTACGCTGTAATCTACGATTTTCATCTGTATCACGAAGCACATGATCTTCGGCTGCCCATCTATCCCAGCTAATTGAACAACAGAAAAAAAAAAAGAGGTTGGAAAATTCAGCATTTTATTTTGATATAAAAGAAACACTAAAAAAACCTTAAAGGAACAGAAGTGCCCCAGAATTATTGACATTTTAGAAAACTATATAGAAACTTGAAAATCACAAAAGAATGCAAATTAACTGAAAAAAGTAACATTCAAATCCAGAAATAACTGGGGTTTCCAGAATCACTCAGAGAGAATTAAAATGTATTGAACTTAAAAGTAATCATTCCTCAGAACAGGCAAGCTTTGAGAACAAAGCAGAAACAGGAAATGAAACTTTTCTACAAGTGTTTCTAAAACTTAAAAGAAGTTTGGGATGTTCTTATGCTATAAAAACAATCGATATTCAGTATGGTTTAACAAGCACTCACCTTCTGTTCCAACCATTAAAATGAATCAGATATTCTGGGATCTTTCTGCCTTTTTCGTCTTTCCCAACAATAACATCGACAATCTGAAACCAGGAAATATTGCCCACGAATGGCAAAACACACAGAGAATTATTAGTTAGATCAGGAAAACTAGATCATAATCCCTTTTTAAAAGAAAAGAAAGCATTCTCTCCTTTTTTAGACCGAGAGCTGGGTTGAAACATTTTTCCTTTCAATACCATTTTTTTTTTTTTTCCTGAGTGGATGCCTCAAAATAGGAAACATCCGTCCAAGCACTCCGTGATTGGTCTTCGAGTTTGAGACAGGGTTAAGTTTCTGAAGCCATTGGCCGGCTGATTTGTCACTAATGAGAGTCCAGACCACAGAAGAGAATTGCAGCCCTGAGACCTCTGGGAGTTGTAGTCTCCCTGGCTCTGCTGCATCCAATTCCCTGATGGGCTGTCAGACTTCGACACCCCTCCCAGTTACATCCCAGGAAGGAACACCTGGGGCAACAAGGGGGCGTGTCCCCCTTTGAGACTCTTGGGCGGGGTGGGAAGAGGCTTAGTAAAGGGACTTAGAAACCCAAAACAGATAGAGACCTTGAAATGTCCTCACTGAGGGCACCGCCTAAGCCTTGCTAAAAGTCGCACCCCAGGCTGCACCTCAGGCTGCACCCGGGCCTCCCCTGTCTCTTCGTTTTGGTGGCTCAAAGGATCGGGACAGCCCTAGTCCCCAAACCGCCGAAATACACTTTCGTTAGGGATACAGGACTTCAGTGCCTACTCCAGCCCACCGCCCAGACCAGAGAAACTAAAAGATGTGGCCAGGACCCCAAAGATTTAGGGGGATGGGTTCAAGACGCAATTCTGCCCGTACATGTTGACACCCACGCAAATCCTTCAGGGATTGAGAATGTCAATGCTGTAGGGGCCTGAGGGTCCAAGACACTGGGATCAATCATGCCCTCAGAATGGGGTCACGGCCTATGGGAGGGATAGACCCTAAACCCGACTAGAGGTCCCAGGGCAACGAGGTTAAGAGTTGGCAGCCAGCGCTTTGGACCTAAGGAATAAGACCTGGGTCAGGCGGCTAGGGTGGCCCCAAGGAGCCCAGGCGGTGCTGGACAGCAAAGGATGAGAAGAAACTTATCGCAAGAGCAGAGACTAGGCGACAGCACATCTATACATGCGGCCCAAGTGGGCACCGTAGGCTCAAACTGCCACCCGGGCCTCGCGACCGTGAGAGCCGGGTACAGTGCTGCAGGAAGCGGAAGCGGAAGCATCTTGGGCCCCCCGCCCGGACTACAGCGCGCGGCACCCCACGAGCGCCCCCTGCTGCCCACGCCTCTCCGCGCAGGCCGGGGAGACCCGCCGCTCCCCCGGCTCCGCGCCGCTGACCGCCCCCGCCCCTGCCCCTGCCTCCCATAGCCAGGGTCCCCGACCCGCTCCTCCTCCCTGGCCCTCCGCGGCGGCACCTTGGCATCGTACAGCACTCGCGCCTTGGTGGGGTCAGGCTCGAAGCACAGCACTTTCTCCCCAGAGTGGAATTTAAATTTCATGCCCTCGCTTGCGCTCATTTGCTCATCGTGGCGGAGGGCGAGGCTCCGGGGCGGGCGGAGCGCGCGCGGTGGGGAAGGGCGGGCGGGGAGGCGGCGCTCCGCGGCCGGGGGGGGCCGGGAATGGCGGAGGCTGCGGCCGCCCCGCCCTCGGCCCCTCCTCCGGCCACCCCGCGCCACTGCAGGGACCTGGGAGACGCCGGGCACGCGCGTTTCCCCCCGGGCGCGCCCCCGCCTGTCCCCGCTGGGGCTCCCCAAGGGGTGCAGGCGGCGAGCGCGACCCCCTGGCCGAGATCTTCCGGCAGAACGGCCCCTCTCGACCCCATGAGAAAGGGTCCCTGCGGCCTCCAGGCTGCGCCCACGTGCACGCGGGGTCGTCACCCCGGACGCAAGCTGTCCTGCCGGGGCGTGGGGGGCGCTTAGGGAGAGAGCCGGTCTGGGGTGGGCACCAGGCTGCGGGGAGGCTGGATGGCGTCTGCCCCCAGGAGCTGCCCAGCCGCGCGCGCGCGCGTCAGCCCCCTTGGCAGAGCTGCGCGCCGATGAGTGTAGCCACGCCAGAAGGACGCTGTGCTGGAGTTGGCTGGAGACAGGCTGTGGCCTTGGGCGAGGGGAGGAGGACATTCCGGGCAGTGAATAGAACACTTGGTCATCCTTCCGAGAGGACAAGCAGGTGGCAGGCACGGAGCCCCCAAGTGACGGAGCGAGCAGTGGACGGCGAGGCAGATGGGTCCTTAAAGGGTCGTTAACATCTTATGTGTCAGCTTCCAGCACTCCGGAATTGCTCCCTCAAGGCCTTCCTTCAGTAGATGAAAAACTCCCTTCAGACTGGAAGCACTATCGAGACCGCTGTTAACGCGGTACCTGCACAGATGAAGTGCTAAGTAAATACAAGATGAAGGAAAGACCTCCAGAGAAAGGAAGGATGATACTGGACTGTTTCATTTTCAGTACTGGAAAGACACTGGGCAGTGTAGTTGGATTAAGACGGGGCTGGAGACCAGCATATAGGCTAATCTCTGCAGTCCTTGTGAACTGCCACTTTTCTTTCCCATACTATGTTCATATCTTAAGAAAATTGTGCTTGCCTCCCTTTCCCCACTATTCCCTCACCAGGTTCTGGGCACATATTCTTCATATTTTAGCTTGGGCATTGCCAAGAGAAAATCCCTCAGGCTTCCCAGAAGGAGTCATACCCCTCCAGTGTTCCCTCCCAGCACTGTACTTACCCTTTTCTTGCATTTACTGCTCTGCTGTAGAATGGGTTGTTCATTTGCAAGAACCCCTCATTAAGATGGTAAGCTCCTTGAAGCTGGGGGTGGGATGTATCTCATCCAGTTCATCATTGTATACTCCTAGCACACAATAAATATTTAATTAATGAACAGATTGCAGATTTATAAAATAGAATCCATAAAACTCAGTGGCTTCCTGGTATAAGGAGCTGAGTGAGTGATGGTTCCACTAGCCAGAATAAAGGCTGGGATCTTTATTCCCTCCTCTGAGAGGAATGACCATGGGGGGGAAGATGGCCAAATAATGACCTGTACTAAGGTCATATAGCACAGAAGCCAGAACTGGAACCAAGATTCCTCTCTAGATTGTGCTTTATTAGATGAGGAAAGTAGATGGTCGTGTTCCTCCCAAATGGCAGGAGGAGATTTGACACATAGGTAATTGCATGTCACGTATAAATCTTGACTGAAGTATTAATGTTGCGATTTTTTCTTGCCCTTAAAGAGTTCTACTCTAGGCTCAAGCCTTTGGGGTGTTTTCCATTTCCACACTTATGTCATTGAGCATGGCCTCTTTCTCTGCCCCACCCTCCTCCAAAGTCCAAGAAATGAAAAGCCTCCAGGGATCTAAAAGCTAAACATTAGCCAATGGCAGCACCCCCTGCAGTCCTCCTCAGGGTTAGGCTCCACTAGAGAGGTCCCTATCTTTAGCACTGGTGGAGCAGTCTTTGCCTTCTGGGGCCTAAAGGTAAAGTATGTGGTGAGCTCCCTAATCTATTCTCACAGAGAATAGTGTCCTAGCTTGTCACCTTGTACAAGCGATTAATCTGTGATGCTCTTTTGTTATGTTTTAAATTAATATAATGGCTCTTACCTGGTAGGGTTGTTTAAGTATTGGTGTGCATGGTTTCATATAGTGACTGGCATGTAAGTGCTGGGTGAATATTTACTATTGACATTAGGTGTGTTTCTCATCTGTTTTTTCTGGTCCTCCATTCATTCACGCAATAAATATTTATTGAGTGTCCTAGACACACAAATTAGAATACATATATTATCACTGACCTCCATGATGGTATATTGGAGGATGGCAGAGCAGCAGACAAGCAAATTGCAGCTTTATGGGTACTGGGATAAAGCTGTTGTGAATTAGAGGAGACACATGCCATTACTTCTTCCTAGGAAGAGGCACAATGTTAGAAAAACTTTCTCTCCTTCAGAGAGGAAGTTACTCAGGAACTGAAATTTATAAGGTGTTTTCCTCACTTTTCAGTTTTCATCAGGGATCAGGGAATTAAGATAGCCATTAAATCTCTTAAAGCATGTCTTTTCACTTCTCATTATATGTCACCTAGTGGGTGACTGACCTAGGGTGATCCTTTCTCTTAGCTATAACAGTGTGCATCCAGCTGGCAATGTAATCATTTGTATCCCTGACCCATCCCTGTCCATCAGTTTTTATCTTTTTTATTTTATTTTATTTTTGACAGGGTGTCTGTGTTGCCCGGGCTGTCCTGGAACTCCTAAATTCAAATCATCCTCCTGCCTCAGCCTACTAGGTAGCTGGCATGTGCTGCCACGCCCAGCAGCAGAGCTCCAGTATAGTTCAGATGTTTGTCTTTCCTGCATCTGAAGAGCTGTCCCACCAGAGATGTCCCACAGTAGGACTCCCCAGGGGATACATTTGTAACAGTTGAGGAACTTTTAACAACACTGATTCCAGGCTTTGAAATTTTGTTTCCAAAGCTCTAAGGTGAAGTCAATAAGTATGCAGAGATGCAGAGGTCTAAACCAATCACAGCAATCCCTTTTCTCTTGCAGAGATTGGTTTAAGTGTGACCATGTGACACACTTCTGGCCAATGAGAAGTTTTCATGGTGAAAGCAGGTGGGGGAGGGTGTTTATGGAAAAGATTTTGTCCCTTCAACTTCCAAAAGAAATAGATGTGGCATAATGTCTTCTCTTACTTGCTGGGCATCAGTGTGTGCAGGGGAATGTAAGTGCTGCAGCCATCTTGGCACCATGGAGCTGGCCCTCATCACTGAGGCTTTGAGGATGAAAGACCAAAGGTAGGGCTTGCTGACCTGGTCATTAATGCATCCTTGAGTCCCTTGACTGAGTTAACTAAACAAACCTGCTGCCTAACTCCAGGCTTCTTGCTATGTAGCCTAAAATGCCTGTGCATCCCAAAACATCTCGATTATACCTCTTCTGCAGTTTTCAAGAGCTAAATTATTGGCATCTAGTGTGAACTATACTGCTAACTTTGGTGATATTCGTGAGCTGGACCTTCAACAGCAAGAATTTCTGTGGATGTGTAGACATAATGGAGTATTTGAAATAGAATTTCACAAATATTCAGGAGTAAATAAGCTTCAGGAATGACATGTAAACCCAATCACCATGTATTATATAGTTTTAATTTGAATGTTAATTTTATTTTTGACCCAAACTTTGATTTCTGGGCCAGTGCATTTATGAAATAAGAGCAGTCTATTACCTTTCAACCAGATAACTTTATGATTGCATACATTTTTGTCTGAGGTATTATGCAGACAACCATTTTAAGAATGTGTTTGTGGTTAATGAATATTCGGATACTAAGTTGTACTGATCCTTTTACAGAAGTTGCAATACTTTTGATACTTGTCGTTTCTTAAATCAAAAGTGGGAATGACTTCCATTGCTCCTTGGCTCACATCCATGGTGGTTTTGTTTTGTTTTTGTATTGGGATTGAAACCAGAGAGGCTGTACCACTGAGCTACATGCCTGCCTTTATTTATTTATTTATTTTGAGACAGGGTCTTGATAAGTTGTCTAGTGCCTCACTAAATTGCTGAGGCTCTCCTCGAACTTGAGATCCTCCTGTCTCAAGTCTCCTAAGTCTAGACTAGAGATGTGGTCACTATACCTGGCTCCCAACCAATGTTCTTCAAATGATGTAAGGACATAGTTGCAAAGAGACCCAAGCTCCCTAAATTGTAGTTCTATGATGAAGAAAGGCCTCCAGAGTAATACCATCAGTGCCCTCCAGCCCAAGATGATCAGGAACACACTTGTTGAAAATAAACAAGTTGGGTTTACTGCTCATTTCAGCCAGAAAGAAGCCACAGGAGTTGTGGGCATCTCAGGAAGGATTAAGAATAGGCTCATTGGAGGATTTGGACTTGTGTTATGTGATTTGGGGAAGGGTTAAGAAAGCAGGACTTTGCTCTTGGTAGGAGTCTGTCCAGGAGAGAATGCGATTTATGCTTGGGTATTTATCTTTCCTAGGAGGAGAAAAGATGAGATTGAAGCTGAAATTGTAGTTGATTAAAAAAAAAAGCAGCTGCTACTCCTATTTAGCTTGAAAAACAGACTGTTTCCAAGTTTGTGATTTGGAATGTAGTTGTGCTTTGTTTTGTGTTTGGACATGATTATAGAGTGGTCTTGTTTTTGTTTTGATCCATCACCGTCACTAAGTGGTTTTATCTGATATTCTGTGATATTGTTTATGGTCAACAGGAAAACAGCCAGGCCTAGCTGTGAATGTATGGCCAGTTCCTGGATATCTGGGGATTTTTTTTTTTTTTTGGCCTCAGTGTTCAAGGTTTGTCAAGTGTTTACTATATAATAATCACTGTGCTAAGCGTTTTATGCAGGTTGGATTATCCTCATAACTTTATGAGGTGATATTAGGATCATCCTCACTTAACAGATATGGAAACGGGGACCTGTAAACATCTTGTCCCAAGTTGGGGTGTGAGTTTAGGCTGTTGATGATGTGCTTAATCACTCATCTCTACAAAACCACACAGCAGCTGTGTGTGACTCAAGACTCAAATCACTTACTTTATAAACA